ATGTCTCCTGCATTGGGAGGCAGGTTCTTTACTGCTAGTGCCACCTGCACAAGTAATAAATTTGCTGAACATAATATCCACTTTTAAGAATGAATAGCTACTTTTTTATTTTAAAAGGAAAATTGTACCTCTATAATAGAGAAATCTAGTTGTCACCATCTTGACTTAGTGATCCAGCTTAATCTTATTAAGTGCAGTAGGAAGAATAATGGCTCCCTAAAGATGTCACTCCCTTATGCCCCGAACCTGTGAAAATGTAATGTACCTTGCTTAAAATAGGGAGATTATGGTTGATTATATGGGTGGACCTAATTTAATTGTATGAGCCTTTACAAGCAGAGAAAACTTTCCAACTAAGAGCAAAAGAAAGATCGCTTTTGCAATAGCAAGAGAAATCAGAGGAATTCCAATCATGAGAGGGACTCAGCATGTAGTTGCTGGCTCTGATTTGGTGGTCCACTTGTGAAGATTGGAGAGAGATCCATAGACGCTAAGAGTGGGCCTGAACTGACAGCAAGTGAGGAAACGAGACCTCAGTCCTGTTACCATGAGATACTAGATTCTGCCAACCATCTAGATGAGCTTAGAAATAGATTCTTCTCAAAGTCTACTGGTGAGAACCCAGCTGGCCTAAACCTTGGTATTAGCCTTGTGAACCCTGGAATAGATATCTAACACCACTGTAAATAAGTCCATTTGTATAATGAGACAATCTAGGCTTCTAACCTACAAGACTCTGAGATAATAAATTTGTGTTGTCTGGAGCCACTAAATCTGTGATAATTTGTTCCAGCAGCAATAGAAAACTAAAACATTGATAAAGGACAGGCAGATATTATTGGCTCCTAATGTGATACAATATGAGATACACAGCACTACGTGTTTGAAATACCCTTGTCAAAAATGTATTACCTGAATCAAATTAAGACTTTGTTTTTTTTAAAAGAAATATGAGGAATAGAGAAACAAGTTAAATAGCACCACAAGGAACCAGTCAGACAAGTATGAAATGTGGGACTACTGGCTAGGAAGTGCAACTGTTTTTCTGTTACATTTTGATCTCTTTAAAAAGCCATCATTTTTAGACTTAAATAGACATTTCTCCAAAGACGACATACAAGTGGCCAACAAGTACATGAAGAGACAGATGCTCAATATTGTTATATGTTACAGAAATGCAAATCAAAACTACTATTAAGTATCACCTCACTCCCATCCGAATAGCCATCATTAACAAGTGTACAGATAGAAAATGCTGGAGAGGCTGTGGAGAAAAGGGAACTTTCCTACACTGTTGATGGGAATGTAAATTGGTGTAGTCACTATGAAGAACAGTGTGGAAATTCCTTAAAAAACTAAAAATAGTGTTACCATATGATCCAACAATCTCACTGCTGGGCATTATCCAGAGAAAACTCTTAATTCAAAAAGATACATGCATCCCAATGTTCATAGCAGCAGTAGTTATAATAGCAAGGCATGGAAGGAACCTAAGTATACATCTAATGGATAAAGAAGATGTGGTAGTGTATATATACACTTGGCCATAAAAAATAATGAAATAATTCCATTTGCAGCAACATAAATAGACCAAGAGATTATCATACTACATGATAATCGTGTAGTAAGTCAGAAGGAAAAAGACAAATGATACCATCTTCAATTTAGGAAATGCATTTCAAAGTCTTAAAAAAGAGAGCTGTGCATTTATGTGCTCATACACGTACATCCCTTGATTTGCTAGGAATTTCAAGGCTGCATTCAGTAGCAGTTTTCTGGAATTGTGTAAAGCTATCACTTGGCTATCTTATGTAAAACTTGTTCTCAGTAAAATAAGATCAAAGGAAAAATATCATATGATATCACTTACATATGGAATCTGAAAAAAAGATACAAATGAACTTATTTTAAAAACAGAAATAAGATTCATGGACATAGGAAACAAATTTACCAATACCAAAGGGGGAAGGGAGTGGAGGAGGAATAAATTAGGCATTTGAGATTAGCAGATACAAGCTACTACATAGAAAATCAATAAACAACAGGTTCCTACTGTATAGCACAGGGAACTTTATCCATATCTTGTAATAACTTATAATGGGAAAAAATCTGAAAAAATACGGACAGTGATTGGTGGAAAAACAGCAGCAGTTGGTAAAATTTGGATATTAGAATATTAAGTATATTGATAATTGAATCATAGATATATTGGAAAATTGTTAATTTTGTTGTCTGTGATTATGGCACTGTGGATATGTCCATAGTATTTGGAGATTCATGCTGAAGTATTTATTTAAGAATAAAGTGTCATGGTGCTATAATTTACACTGAGATATTTTAGCCAAAAAAAGAAAAGAAATAGATTAAACAAACATGGCAAAATGTTAATCTCTAGGTTACTAGAGAGTAAGTATATAGATTTTAATAGTCTTTCTCATTTTCTGTACTTTTGAAAAACTTGAGGAAAAATTAGAGGCAAAAAATAAATAGCATTCTATATACCAATAAAAACCCACTAGAAATGTAATTTAGCAAAGATACACCTTACAATAGCAATAAAAACTCTTATATACATTGGAATATATTTAACAAAACATGTACAAAACTTAATGGAGAGAATTGTAGAATATTTTGAATGGTGTAAAATTAGATTCAGACTTCACAACAGAAATAAATACCATGTGTAATGAAGATTACCCATGAAATGCGAAACTCTTTTTTAAATTAGTTTTTATTGGAGTTGAGTTCCTTTACAATATTGTGTTAGTTTCTGCTGTACATCAAAGTGGATCAGCCATATGTATACATATGTCTCCTCTTTTGGGGTTTCCTTCCCATTCAGGTGACAACAGAGCATCAAGTAGAGTTCCCTGTGCTACACAGCACAGTCTCATTAGTTATCTATAGCATCTATCTATAGCATATATATCCATATCTATCTATAGCATCCATAGCGTATATATGTCAATCTCAGTCTCCCAATTCCTCCCCCGCCCCACTTCCCTCCTTGGTATTCATACATTTGCTCTCTACATCTGTGTCTCTACTTCTGCTTTGAAATGCAAAACTTTAAATGGATATCTTAATCTGGGACAGGAAAGTATTTCTTAAACAAAGCACAAAACGTATAAATTATAAAGAAGTGGAATAATTAACTTGATAATATTAAAATTTAAACCCCACAAATTAGGAAAAGATATTTGTAAGTTACATATTAATTAATAAAAATTAATATCCAGAGTATTTAAGTAAATCTTATAATTTAATACTTTTTAAAGTAAATAAAGTGATATGAAATAGTAATATAATATGTTGTTTGTTTAGTTGCTCAATCATGTCTGACTCTTTTGTGACGCTATGGACTATAGCTTGCCAGGCTCCTCTGTCCATGGGATTTCCCAGGCAAGAATACTGGAGTAGGTTGCCGTTTCTTTCTCTAGGGTATCTTCCTGACCCAGGGATGGAACCTGCATCTCCTACATTGGCAGGTGAATTCTTTACCACTGAGCCACCTGGGAAACGATATAATGGGAAATAACATAATGTTGTTCATTCACTCAGTCATGTTTGACTCTGCAACCCCATGGACTGCAGCGTGCCGGGCCTCCCTGTCCTTCACCATCTCCCGGAGCCTGCTCAAACTCATATCCATTGAGTTGGTGATGCTATCCAACCATCTCATCCTCTGTTGTCCCCTTCTTCTCCTACCTTCAATTTTTCCCAGTGTCAGGATCTTTTCTAATGAGTCAGCTCTTCGCATCAGGTGGCCAAAGTTTTGGAGTTTCAGCTTCAACATCAGACCTTGCAATGATCACCCAGGACTGATCTCCTTTAGGATGGACTGGTTGGAGCTCGTTGCAGTCCAAGGGACTGTCAAGAGTCTTCTCCAACACCAGAGTTCAAAAGCATCAATTTTTCAACGCTCAACCTTCTTTATGGTCCAACTCTCCCATCCATATATATAATATAATATATCCTTAGGTAAAAGTGGTTACTTGCCAACAGAATTGATTTCAAGGTTTCTTGTGGAAAATTAGAAAAACAAATTACTTTCAGATAATTTGCCTACTTTAAAGATACCATAATTTTTGTGTTGTCTTTAATGTTCTCTATAATGTAAAATGATTTTTGTGTGCTTTAGGAATGTATCCCAGAAATGCAGATGTAATAGATGCTGATTTATTTTAAATTATATAAATGAGGCATCCTGACAAATAATTATACCAACTGCTATATGTAAAATTAAAGTTATTGATTATGGTCAACATATTTTGATTACTTACTACCTGCCACACACGTTATAAATATTGTTTTAGTTAAATCTCACAGCAATCCTGTGACATGTTAATAGTAGTAATATTATTACAAAAGAGGAAACAGATCTGCAGTAGTTAACCAACTTTTCCCCAAACCACCCAGTTAGTAAATGGCAGGGCCAACTTGAATCCAGGACTGTGACCTCCAAAGCCCACCAACTTGAACATTACACCCTAATGTTAATACTTCCCATTTCTTTTGTTTCTAATGATACCAGGTAAATGGACACATGAAGAATAGTTCTCAGTTGTCTTTACATCTTCTTATCATTTTCTCAATTGCAGTTTTTTTTCTCAATCATTAGTTTTAAAAGATAAATGAAACTCCTCCTAGAAGAAAACAAAATATAATGGTTCTTTGATAATTCTCAGAGGGAAGAATCTTAAAGAAACATTCTCTCCTCCCAACTCCAGAGTGTTGCCAATATCTCTTACACATAAACTGAAATGAGTAGTTAATATTTCATTGCAGCATATCATATCTAAACTTTGTTACATTCAAGAAGTGAAACTAGGATATTACCCTAGTGGTCCAGTGGTTTAAGATTCTGCACTTCCTCGGCAGGAGGCACAGCTTTGATCCTTGGTTGGGAAACTAAGATCCTGCATGCTGCATAGCATAGCAAAAACAAACAAACAAACAAACAAACAAACCTGAAACTAATTTAATTTCTCTACTTACAGGAATATGAAAGTCAGATAGAAAAGGATATGTCCATTTCAGATGTGAATTCTATTACTGCACAAAGGATTAATTCTGCCAATTTTCTGCAAAAGGTAACAACAACAAAATAATATTGTCAGTGTGTTTGAATTTACTTTTGTGAAAACTAGTCTGCTGGATGCACAGCATAGTACTGTACCCTTCACAGAGAGTCAGCCGGGCGAACCTGGTTGCTCCTCACCTCTTTCTGGTCACTAAGGGGTTTTCTGTTCAGTTCAGGCTTCTTTTTCAGCGTTACCTACTGACCATCTGTAAATGTACACAGTTGACGTGTATTATTGATGCAACAGTTACTTCAGTTGACAGCAAACTCATTATTAGAGCATATTCCAACTTTTTCTGTTTACACCCATCTCTTCTTGACCCTGAAAATTCACTTTGAGAAGTACACCAGCATTTTGTTGGCTTCCCTAGTTTTATTAACAACTCCTAATGCCGCACACCACAGCAGTTCAGCGGACAATGGATGGAGGACTACTAGGAAGGAGACAGAAAATAGTAGAGAAAGACATGCTTCAGATATTTACAGAACACCCTGCCAAAGCCTAAACCAGGTTTGAGGTGGAATCCCTCTATCAAATTCACCCCTGATTTCTTTCCACTGACCCCTCATCCTTCCACCCTAAACTTCCAGAGCACAGGGACTATATCTATAGATCCATGATGCCCAGCACAGTGCTCTTCACTCAGGAAATATTGAGACATGTTTGAGCAGTTAATGAGGTTAGGAATAAAACCACAAGACTTCTGCAAGAGTAGAATTGATAGCCCTTGCTATAGAGCACCGGAGAAGCCTTTCAAGATAACTTGAAAGCAGAGAGCCATGGAAAGATCTGAGAGATACACACCAAATACCTCATAAAGACAGGAGAGAAGTGACCTTGTGTGACTAGATGAGCCCTAGGCAGGTATGTGCAGTCCTGTTCTGACCACCCCATTTGTCTTTGGGCAAGTTATCTATGCACTGAGTCCTGCCTTATTGTTTTATAAAAACAGACAATAAAAATGCCTGCCTTGCTTTTCTTCTGAAGTAAAATGATAAAACTGCAAGTGCTGAGCGAGTTTGTACTCTGTTCCTCTGAGAGCGTGGTGGAAATGCAGACCACTGTAGCTATCATAGTCTGTTTCAGTACTTTCTGTTTATCATTGGCAGGTGTTTTTTTCCCACTCACCCTTGCCCCTCCTACACCTTCTTTATTAACTGCATGTGTGTGCCAAGTCACTTCAGTTGTGTCCGACTCTTCGTGACCCTGTGGGGTGTAGCCCACCAGGCTCCTCTGTCCGTGGAACTCTCTAGGCAAGAATACTCTAGTGGGTTGCCTTGCCCTCCTCCAGGGGATCTTCCTGACCAAGGGATTGAACCCACATCTCTTAGGTCTCCTGCATTGGCTGGCGGGTTCTTTACCATTAGCACCACCTGGAAACCCCTACTAGCTCCATATTCCTTTTAAAAAGGGTTGAGAGGTGATTTAATAATGAGATTTATGTCTTAGGAAATGAAGAGGTGTTCTTATAAGAAAAGGGAACATACACCCTACTCATCCCATCTCTTCTTTTTGATGGATAAGGAAGCCTGGGAGGGAGGGTAGCAGAGGGTCAGGAAGGTGGTAAGAGTGCAAGTGTCTGAGGATTCTGGAACTTCACGCAGGATCCTGTGAAGGAGCATCAAGAACATTTTGTGATTGTGTTTCAGCTCCTTGTGAAGACTTCTTTGCTATCTGGAGATAGTCTCACACTACAAGTTGAAGGATAACGACTCTAATTATATGAGTGTTTAAATCTGATTGTGAGTTATGTGGGTTACTCCCTGCTGTGTTACTGGTGTCAGTGGTACCTGAGGCCAGGGTTGGAGCAGTAAAGTGCCAGCAGTCTCATGGATTGCTAGATAAAGTTTTGCTGAAATATTTGCATCGAAGAGGCCTGTAGCTTTCCTCAATCTGTCCCTTCCATTAATTTACTCAATACATACTTACTGAGCATCTGCTCTTAATCAGGAATTATACTAGAGATTGGAATTACAGCAGTAAACAAAAGAGACTAAAATCCTTGACCTCCTAGTCATTCTAGTGGAAGAAGTCAGATAATGAACAAAATATTAGTGTATTAGATTGTGATATGTGCTCTAACAAGTAAAGTTGGAAAAGAGCACGTGTGTGTGTGTGTGTGTGTGTGTGTGTGTGTGTGTTGGGATGTGGGGTACAATTTTAAATAAGATAACCAAGGAAAGCCCCTGAGAAGGTAACACCAACAAAAGACAGGAAAGCTGAGGGAGCTAGATTTGGAGCTCCAAAAGGTTAGAGTTTTCATGGGAGGAGAACATCGCAGGCTGATGGAACCATATGTGAAAACTGAGAAAGGAATATGCGTAGCCTGTGGCAGGGACAGCAAGGAGCTCAGTCTGTGTGCTGCCAGTGGAGCAAAGGAGAGAGAGAGGATGAGAGAAGGGGTGGGAGAAGGGAAAGAAAGAAAGAAACGGAGGGAGGGCTCAACACAATAATGGGGTCAGAGGGGAGAGGGGTGTGGTTCACCTTCAAGGCAAGCAGTTTGTTGCCCATACAGGCTTCCCTGGTTGCTCAGACGGGAAAGAACCTGCCTGCAATGGAGGAGACCTGGGTTCAATCCCTGGGTTGGGAAGATCCCCTGGAGAAGGGAATGGCAAACTACTCCAGTATTCTTGCCTGGGAAATTCCATAGACAGAGGAGCCTGGTGAGCTACAGCCCATGGGGTCACAAAGAGACTCACTCTCTCTCTCTCTCTCTCTCTCTCTCTCTCTCTCTCACACACACACACACACACACACACACACAGCAGAGTAATTCTTAGGAATTCTGTTTTTCCCATTCTCCTACCACCTCATTTTCCTATATAATTTAAGCAGATCATTAGTCTCTAGGTTGGGCTTCCCAGGTGGTGCTAGTGGTAAAGAACCCTTCTGCCAGTGCAGGAAAGGTAAGAGATGCAGGTTCAATCCCTGGGTCTGGAAGAATCACCTGGAGGAGAGCATGGCAACCCACTCCAGTGTTCCTGCCTAGAGAATCCCGTGGACACAGGAGCCTCGTGGGCTACGGTCCATAGGGTCGTAAAGAGTCAGACACAGTGAAGCGACTTAGCACACATGCATGTATACACAGTCTCTAGGTTACATTATCTCCAGGATGATATGTGGCAGGACAGAAAGCAGAAATCTGCCTTGAGACACGCTTCTTCCTGGTTTCATTTCTAAAAGTCTACACCTGATGTGAAGGATGGGATTAGAGTAGAAAGGGAGGAATTTCCTTAGACTATAAAGAATTTCAGAGTCCTTAGAGGAACCAATTTCTGTGGGTTCTGCAAGCAGCACGGGCTTAGGGGAATGGCTCTGTTGAAGCACTGAATATCTACCAAGCAGACAGAATGAGAACTTAAGGTCAGAGTAGGATGAACTCAAAGGACATCCTGTGGGAGAGGGTGAGTGTGGGATGATATGGGAGAATGGCATTGAAACATGTAAATTATACCCAGAGGGATGGGATGGGGAGGGAGGTGGGAGGGGGGTTCAGGATGGGGAACACATGTACACCCATGGCGGATTCAAGTCAATGTATGGCAAAGCCAATACAATGTTGTAAAGTAAAATAAATAAATAAATATAAAAAAATAAAAGGACATACAGAAATGTGATGACATTTCTTTGTGGATCAAGATTTGTGTGAATACAAGTGACTGCTATAAAAACACATTCACAGGTAATCATCTTCTTTGGTGAAGACTAATTCTGTCTATGTGAATACTCTGAGATAAGTTGAAAAAGAGATGAGAGGGTCATAATGAGAGTGTTAGGAATGATTTTGATAATGGTCGGAAACAGAAGCATACTTTCACTTACCTAATTCCCCTTCCCATTCTTTACTTATAAAAAGTAAGACTAACAAAAGAGTGACACCAGTACCATTGCGTATACTTAATCTTGAAATATGAACTCTTTATTTCTTAAAAATATGTTTTGTAGATGAGAAGGTTGGTAATGAGAAGAATTGTCAAAGTTAGCAAATTTAACTTATCAGATATTGTGGCTGATTATGAAGAAATTGTATCTGCAAGGTACATACTAAAATCATTATTATTTAAGTCTGAACTATAAAGCTATAAGCTAGTTCCTTCAGAGTCCTCAAATAAGTTCTCTTTTTATATTAATGTCAAAATCCAGTTACCAAGCATAAAATGAAATATAGTGATTTAAATATTTTTAATAATTTTAAAATTCCATTTTGGACACATCTGTATGATTTATATTTTCAATTGTATAGTAATTTTGTTTTTAACCCTCTCCTTGTGGCAAGAAAGAAAGCAAAACACCTTTGTCCCAAATTAGTTTTGCTTTCAGATCTCCCTGTCCTGGGACTGATTCTGGAAAAATCATTGGTGGTAGCACCATGCCCTAAGCCTATAATCTCCCCCTTTCAAAACTGAATCCTCAGCAAAGACTAATATAAGGACTCTGCGATCCACAGGCAGCTGCGGGGGGAGGCTTTTGCTGAAGGAACTCAATTCTCATACTGTCCTACCTGTGAGACTTAAGGGTAGGAACAGGAATTAGGGATGCTACATATCTGGGGAACCACTCTGGGGCCACTTGCAGGTTCTTAGTATTAACAGGAAGGTTTTAGTTGGCTTAGGATGCTGAGATATATTTGGGGGGAGGGGTTTCTATTCTAAAATATACCTTGAAGTAATTCTCTATGAGCACATGTTTTAAAATGAAAGCTTATTTTTAAAAAAATTTTATTGGGGTATAGTTGATTTACAATGTTGTGCTAGTTTCTGCTATATAGCAAAGTGAATCTGCTAATCATATACATATATCCATTCTTTTTTAGATTCTTTTCCCATATAGGCCATTACAGAGTATTTAGTAGAGTTCCCTGTACTATACATAGGTCCTTATTAGTTATCTATTTCATATTTAGTAGTATTTCACGTTCATATTTGTTATTTATCATATTTATGATATATTGTTTATATTATTTATCATATATTATCATTTATTATTTATTATATTCATATTTCATATTTAGTATATTTAGATAGTGGTGTGTGTGCTGATGGACCAGGTAAGCCTGGCATGCTGCAGTCCATGGGGTTGCAAAGAGTCAGGCATGACTGAGTGACTGAACCGAACTGACAGTGATATGTGTGTGTCAACGATGAAAACTTATTTTTTAACTTTTCATTTTATATTGGAGTACAGGTGATTAACAATGTTGTGTTAGTTTCAGGTGTACAACAAGGTGATTCAGTTATACACATACATGAATCTATTCTTTTTCAAATTCTTTTCCTAATTAGGCTGTTCCAGAATATTGAGCAGAGTTCCCTTTGCTGTACTTGTACTGGGTCCTTGTTGTTTACCCATTTTAAATATAACAGTGTGTACCTGTCAATCCCAAACTCCCTTGTCCCCCTCAACCCCTTCCCCGCTGGTAACCATGAGTTTGTTCTCTAAGTCTATGAGTCTGTTTCTGTTTTGTAAATAAGTTCATTTGTATCTTTTTTTGGATTCCATATATAAATGATATTACACAACATTTCTTTCTCTGACTTACTTTCCTCAGTATGACAGTCTCTTAAGTCTATCCACGTTGCTACAAGTGGTCTTATTTCATTCTTTTCAATAGCTGAGTAATAGTCCATTATATATATATTAAGAAACATATATAGATTAAAAATATATATATTTCTTAATCTTAATATGTATATTTCTTAATCTTAATTTCTTATTTCTTAATATATATATATGTATCACATCTTCTTAATCCATTCTCCGGTATATGGACATTTAGGCTGCTTCCATGTCTTGGCTATTGTAAACACACTGCAATGAATACTGGGGTGCATGTTCCCTTTCAGACCATATATTTCTCTGGATACAGGCCCAGGAGTGAGGTTATAGGATGATATGGTAGCTCTGTTTTTAGTTTCTTAAGGAACCTCCATACTGTTCACCATAGTGGCTTCACAAATTTACATTCCCACCAACAGTGTAGGAGGGTTCTCTTCTCTTCCTACCCTCTCCAGTGTTTATAGTTTGTGGGTTTTTTCATGATAGCCATTTTGACTGGTGTGAGGTGATATCTTCTTGCAGTTTTGATTTGCATTTATCTAATAATTAGCAATGTTGAACATCTTTTCATGTGCCTCTTGGCCACCTATATGTCTTCTTTGGTGAAAATACCTGTTTAAGTCTTCTGCCCCTTTTTTGATGGAGTTGTTTGCTTGGATGATATTAAGCATCATAAGCTGTTTATAAATTTTGGGGACTAATCCCTTGGTCACATCACTTGCAAATATTTTTCCCAATCTGTGAGCTGTTTTTTCATTTAGTTCATTGTTTCCTCTGCTGTGCAAAAACTTTTGAGTTTAATTAGGTCTCATTTGTTTATTTTTGTTTTTCCATTTCCATTACTCTGAGAGAGGGATTGAAGAAGATGTTGCTGTAATTTACGTCAGAGTGTTCTGCCTATGTTTTCCTCCAAGAGTTTTATAGTGTACAGTCTTATATTTAGGTCTTTAATCCATTTTGAATTTATTTTTGTGTGTGATGTCAAAGAATGTTCTAATATCATTTTTTGCATGTAGCTGTCCAGTTTGCCCAGCACCATTTATTGAAGAGACTGTCTTTTCTTCATTGTATATAGTCTTGCCTCCTTAGATCAATTGACCATAAGTACATGCATTTATTTCTGGGCTTTCTCTCCTGTTTCATTGATCTGCATTTCTATTTTTGTGCCAGTACTATGCTTTTTTTTGTGCCATGCTGTTTTGATGACTATAACTTTGTAGGGTAGTCTGAAGTTTTTATTTTCAGTCTTTAGAGGAAAACAAGTGTGACCATAAAGTTATAATTCCATATAACTTTGTGTTTACACATAGGCTCCATATAGGTTTGTGTTGCCAGGAGTTGCAGCACTTATAACTAACTCCTACTCAGAACTATGTAGAAAATGATCAAGAGAATGATTCCTAAAAAATGAATAATCTTTTGAAATAACATCATGTTTCATGGGATTACCTTTCCATGCCCTATCTCTTCTTGGACCATATACCCAAAGAACTTGGAGCAATCAGGTGCTCTCTTAAAACACAGAATCCCTTCTACACTCAGAAAAAGATTATTCTCTTGGGCCTAAGACAACTCTGTCTCCCCTACTAAAGAGAACATGGTTCAGAATAATGACCTTATTTATAATAAATTTTAAAAATCGTTATCTTTCAAATATTAAGTTATTTTATATCAATCTGATTGACCACTTTTTAGCCAGTTGACATATGCAGTTTGTAAGCTTCTTGAACAACGAAGAAAGTTAAAGCCTCAGAGGAAAGAAAGGAAAAAAGTGGCAGCACAGACTGTCTGTGATAGAAATATTAAGATTCTTATCAGAATACTGAGAGCTTATAATATTCCTACAAGGAAAACAACAGTTAATAGGTAAGGCAATTGCACCAATTTTTGGAGTTACAAAAAATGTCTTAAATGTAAATTTCTAAACTGTCTTTTTAATAAAACTTTGCACTTTATTGATGCTCTACATACAAAAGCTGAATGAAAGTTGAAATCTTCATTTGAATAGTCAAACTTAACTGTCATTGCTATGTAGTAAAAGTTTGCAGAAGTTTGAGATGCCTGAAGTATCTTTAACATGTATATTTTTGGGTGCTATATTAAATAAATGCCTTCTGTCCATATTCCCTATTTTGAAAACTTAAGCAGCTATTGCCAATTATACTGTCCACTCACAGTGTTGGAAGTAGAATAGTAGAATACAGGAGAGAATAGGCTCCATTTTGGACTTGTCATTTTAGGTGACTTCTTATAAAAATCAGATCTTACCATCTCTTTTGCAGGCACTCAGAATGATGTGTTTTATTGATGTTTCTTGGGCAGAGGATATGTGGGGTCAGAATGATCAAATGAAGTCATCCTGAATATTTAGTATATCCTCAATATCAAGTGTCATATATTTAATCTCATATATAATTTATATATTGTGAATATTTCACACCCAGGTACCTAAGGAATACTGAGTATCTCTCTCTATCTACTTTTAACACAGGTGTGCTCTGCTTACTTATTTTATGTTTATCCCATGAATTCTACCTATGAGAAACATTTTGCTTACTAGCTACTAATCTACAGTTAAAACCTCTTAAAGGTTTTGCCTGTGTTTTGCAAATATGATTTTATTTATGATACACTTGATATTCTCAAAACAAATGCACATTTCAAGGCTATTTTGTGAAATAAGGACATTTTAAAATTACTACCATTTTCTACAATAATCGGGCTTATTGGGCTTCCCTTGTGGCTCAACTAGTAAAGAATCCACCTGCAATGGGGGAGACCTGGCTTCAATTCCTGAGTTGAGAAGATTCCCTGGAGAAGAGAAAGGCTACCCACTCCAGTATTCTGGCCTGGAGAATTCCATGGACTGTATAGTCCATGGGGTTGCAAAGAGTTGGACACAACTGAGCGACTTTCAGTTTCTGCAATAATTAATCTGTAAAAGAAAGAATACTGTAACACGAAAAATAGGAATAATATAGCTCACAGTATTACCTACCCTATTTTCCCCTTTTTGCTGAAGATTAGTGAAGACTTTACCACAGACTGGTTCCCATCCATAGCTCAGCACTGAGGAGCTACCCTTTCAGAGTGGTGATTGTCACATATTTATCTCTAACCATCTACAATATGAAGACCCAAAGCAAACAGTAAGATCCAGGGTAACTAACTTATCTACCTCTATAAGCATAAGCAGAAACCCAACAACACAGCACATAAGCATAAGCAAAAACACACCTATTCGCACCAAAACAAATATTGAAATTAATTAAAGTGTATGTCTCTATATTGTTTTTCCTGAAGATCCTTGGGTATGCCTACTTATTTGGTATCATCCATGTCTCGCCTCAGACATAAAGAAACAATCAAATCATTAGCCTCAGATGAAATCTTAAATGAGGTAAGTATTTAACACTTCTCTAAAGTGCAGTTTTGATCATGTTTTCTCTGAACTGCAACTGGCCCCTAACTGGACTATCCTTCGCTAATCTCTTGGGCTTCTAGTTTACTCTCCATAACACAGTGATGGTGCTGTTTACAAAATGTAATTCTAACCATTTCATTCTCTACTACCCTGCCCTCAGGGTCTATAGAATAAAATGCAAGCTCCTTAGAAAGTCTACCAAAATCTGTATTTATCTGGTTCTTATCTACCAATCAGTCAGCCACGTTTCTCTCCACCCCACAGCGGTCTCATATCACACTACTGCATTCTAGAAGTCCTCCCTTCTTGCCCTTTCTGTTGCCTGCAGTGGCCACCATACTTCTTGTTCATGTCTTACTGGCCACATGAACTACTATTTAATGTTTCGAAGCTCAAGCCCATGCAGTGTGTTCTATGTGAAGTTCTCTTTGTCCTCACCCCCAAAAGTTTAATCATCCTCTCTCCTGAGTAACTATTATATCCTGAATATATTTCTTATGTTTCACTGCCATTATTTTCTTAACTGTCTGTTTTCTCCTGACAGGCTTAAGATAAAAATCCTTAATGATATCCATGTATTTTTGGATCCTAGCAAGATCATACCTGATATTAAATAGGATGAAATCTTAACTGAATGAATGAATGAATAAGTAATGGTTGTTTGAAAAACTAGAAAAACCAAACCATCTAGTTATCAGCCAGTAACTAATTTCTACGTTTTATCAACTATATAAAGTATTACAAAAACCTAGTCAGTGTTTATCATGTGTTTCAGGATACTGTACACCCCTTTGTGGAGGTTTCCTTTCAGCACACTGTATACCAAACCAGCATTGCCAGTGGATCTCATCCATGCTGGAATGAAGAAATTAAAGTAGATTTTATGTAAGTTGGAGTCCGTTTTTCCTTGACTCCCCCCCCCCCCCCGCCCCGTGGATTATTTATTTATTTTTGTCCTATGGATTTTTTTTTCATTTATTTTTATTAGTTGGAGGCTAATTACTTTACAACATTGCAGTGGTTTTTGTCATACATTGAAATGAATTAGCCATGGATTTACATGTATTCCCCATCCCGGTTCCCCCTTTCCTTGACTTCTAAAATAAACCAATAACAGAATTATTTTCTTGAGCCATTTATTGAAAATAATGATTGATACAGGCTTAATTTTTAAGTTTTTTAATTATGAAGTGTGTTTACATAGATAATGTATGTGTGTGTGCTAAGTCGCTTCAGTCATGTCTGACTCTTTGTGACCCTGTGAACTGTAGCCCACCAGGCCTCTCTGTCCGTGGGATTCTTTAGGCAAGAATACTGGAATGGGTTGCCCTGCCTTCCTCCAGGGGCTCTTCCTGACTCAAGAATTGAACCCATGTCTCCTGTGGTTCCTGCACTGCAGGCGGATTCTTGATCACTGAGTAAGCAGGGAAGCCCTTATATAGTGTATATGTAAATATAAGTTCTGAGGGAAAATGAATATTTGTGTATCTACCATTTAGCTTTTTTTTTTTTTTTTTTTAAGTTATGAAAGTTTGAAAACTTTAAAAAAAAATATGATTTACATTTTGATTTTGTTTATTTGAAAAATATTTATTTGCCTGCACCAAGCCTTAGTTGTGACACACAGGATCTTTGATCTTTCTTATGATATACAGGCTGTTTAGTTGCAATGTGTGGGATCTAGTTCCCTGATCAGGGATCAAACCTGGGTCCCCTGTATTCGGAACACAGAGTCTTAGTCACTGGCCCACCAGGGAAGTTACCTGGAAAACGTTTTTTTTTTTTTTTTTTTTAATTTTATTATTTATTTATTTATTTATTTATTTATTTATTTATTTATTTTTCACAACCATAGTGTATCTTTTTTTTTTTTTTTTTACATGTATTCCCCATCCCGGTCCCCCCTCCCACCTCCCTCTCCACCCAATCCCTCTGGGTCTTCCCAGTGCACCAGGCCCGAGCACTTGTCTCATGCACCCAACCTGGGCTGGTGAACTGTTTCACCCTAGATAATATACGTGTTTCAATGCTGTTCTCTTGAAACATCCCACCCTCGCCTTCTCCCAGAGTCCACAAGTCTGTTCTATACATAGGAGTCTCTTTTTCTGTTTTGCACATAGGGTTATCGTTACCATCTTTCTAAATTCCATATATATGTGTTAGTATACTGTAATGGTCTTTATCTTTCTGGCTTACTTCGCTCTGTATAATGGGCTCCAGTTTCATCCATCTCATTAGAACTGATTCAAATGAATTCTTTTTCATGGCTGAGTAATATTCCATGGTGTATATGTACCACAGCTTCCTCATCCATTCATCTGCTGATGGGCATCTAGGTTGCTTCCATGTCCTGGCTATTATAAACAGTGCTGCGATGAACATTGGGGTACACGTGTCTCTTTCAGATCTGGTTTCCTCGGTGTGTATGCCCAGAAGTGGGATTGCTGGGTCATATGGCAGTTCTATTTCCAGCTTTTTAAGAAATCTCCACACTGTTTTCCATAGTGGCTGTACTAATTTGCATTCCCACCAACAGTGTAAGAGGGTTCCCTTTTCTCCACACCCTCTCCAGCATTTATTGCTTGTAGACTTTTGGATAGCAGCCATCCTGACTGGTGTGTAATGGTACCTCATTGTGGTTTTGATTTGCATTTCTCTGATAATGAGTGATGTTGAGCATCTTTTCATGTGTTTGTTAGCCATCTGTATGTCTTCTTTGGAGAAATGTCTGTTCAGTTCTTTGGCCCATTTTTTGATTGGGTCATTTATTTTTCTGGAGTTGAGCTGGAGGAGTTGCTTGTATATTTTTGAGATTAATCCTTTGTCTGTTGCTTCGTTTGCTATTATTTTCTCCCAATCTGAGGGCTGTCTTTTCACCTTGCTTATAGTTTCCTTTGTTGTGCAAAAGCTTTTAAGTTTCATTAGGTCCCATTTGTTTATTTTTGCTTTTATTTCTAAAATTCTGGGATGTGGGTCATAGAGGATCCTGCTGTGATTTATGTCAGAGAGTGTTTTGCCTATGTTCTCCTCTAGGAGTTTTATAGTTTCTGGTCTTACATTTAGATCTTTAATCCATCTTGAGTTTATTTTTGTGTATGGTGTTAGAAAGTGTTCTAGTTTCATTCTTTTACAGGTGGTTGACCAGTTTTCCCAGCACCACTTGTTAAAGAGGTTGTCTTTTTTCCATTGTATATCCTTGCCTCCTTTGTCAAAGATAAGGTGACCATAGGTTCGTGGATTTATCTCTGGGCTTTCTATTCTGTTCCACTGATCTATATTTCTGTCTTTGTGCCAGTACCATACTGTCTTGATGACTGTGGCTTTGTAGTATAGTCTGAAGTCAGGCAGATTGATTCCTCCAGTTCCATTCTTCTTTCTCAGGATTACTTTGGCTATTCGAGGTTTTTTGTATTTCCATACAAATTGTGAAATTATTCGTTCTAGTTCTGTGAAAAATATCGTTGGTAGTTTGATAGGGATTGCACTGAATCTGTAGATTGCTTTGGGTAGTATAGCCATTTTGACAATATTGATTCTTCCAATCCATGAACACGGTATATTTCTCCATCTGTTTGTGTCCTCTTTGATTTCTTTCATCAGTGTTTTATAGTTTTCTATGTATAGGTCTTTTGTTTCTTTAGGTAGATATACTCCTAAGTATTTTATTCTTTTTGTTGCAATGGTGAATGGTATTGTTTCCTTAATTTCTCTTTCTGTTTTCTCATTGTTAGTGTATAGGAATGCAAGAGATTTCTGTGTGTTAATTTTATATCCTGCAACTTTACTGTATTCGTTGATTATCTCTAGTAATTTTCTGGTAGAGTCTTTAGGATTTTCTATGTAGAGGATCATGTCATCTGCAAACAGAGAGAGTTTCACTTCTTCTTTTCCTATCTGGATTCCTTTTACTTCTTTTTCTGCTCTGATTGCTGTGGCCAAAACTTCCAAAACTATGTTGAATAGTAGTGGTGAGAGTGGGCACCCTTGTCTTGTTCCTGATTTCAGGGGAAATGCTTTCAGTTTTTCACCATTGAGGGTGATGCTTGCTGTGGGTTTGTCATATATAGCTTTTATTATGTTGAGGTATGTTCCTTCTATTCCTGCTTTCTGGAGAGTTTTAATCATAAATGGATGTTGAATTTTATCAAAGGCTTTTTCTGCATCTATTGAGATAACCATATGGTTTTTATCTTTCAATTTGTTAATGTGGTGTATTACATTGATTGATTTGCGGATATTAAAGAATCCTTGCATTCCTGGGATAAAGCCCACTTGGTCATGATGTATGATTTTTTTAATATGTTGTTGGATTCTGTTTGCTAGAATTTTGTTAAGGATTTTTGCATCTATGTTCATCAGTGATATTGGCCTGTAGTTTTCTTTTTTTGTGGCATCTTTGTCTGGTTTTGGAATTAGGGTGATGGTGGCCTCATAGAATGAGTTTGGAAGTTTACCTTCTTCTGCAATTTTCTGGAAGAGTTTGAGTAAGATAGGTGTTAGCTCTTCTCTAAATTTTTGGTAGAATTCAGCTGTGAAGCCATCTGGTCCTGGGCTTTTGTTTGCTGGAAGGTTTCTGATTACAGTTTCAATTTCCTTGCTTGTGATGGGTTTGTTAAGATCTTCTATTTCTTCCTGGTTCAGTTTTGGAAAGTTATACTTCTCTAAGAACTTGTCCATTTCTTCCAAGTTGTCCATTTTATTGGCATAGAGCTGCTGGTAGTAGTCTCTTATGATCCTTTGTATTTCGGTGTTGTCTGTTGTGATCTCTCCATTTTCGTTTCTAATTTTGTTAATTTGGTTCTTCTCCCTTTGTTTCTTAATGAGTCTTGCTAATGGTTTGTCAATTTTGTTTATTTTTTCAAAAAACCAGCTTTTAGCTTTGTTAATTTTTGCTATGATCTCTTTAGTTTCTTTTGCATTTATTTCTGCCCTGATTTTTAAGATTTCTTTCCTTCTACTAACCCTGGGGTTCTTCATTTCTTCCTCCTCTAGTTGCTTTAGGTGTAGAGTTAGGTTATTTATTTGACTTTTTTCTTGTTTCTTGAGGTAGGCCTGTAATGCTATGAATCTTCCCCTTAGCACTGCCTTTACAGTGTCCCATAGGTTTTGGGTTGTTGTGTTTTCATTTTCATTCATTTCTATGCATATTTTTATTTCTTTTTTGATTTCTTCTATGATTTGTTGGTTATTCAGAAGCGTGTTGTTTAGCCTCCATATGTTTGAATTTTTAATAATTTTTTTCCTGTAATTAAGATCTAATCTTACTGCACTGTGGTCAGAAAAGATGACTGGAATGATTTCAATCTTTTTGAATTTACCAAGACTAGATTTATGGCCCAGGATGTGATCTATTCTGGAGAAGGTTCCGTGTGCACTTGAGAAAAAGGTGAAGTTGATTGTTTTGGGGTGAAACGTCCTATAGATGTCAATTAGGTCTAGCTGGTCCATTGTGTCCTTTAAAGTTTGTGCTTCCTTGTTCATTTTCTGTTTAGTTGATCTATCCATAGTTGTGAGTGGAGTATTAAAGTCTCCTACTATTATTGTGTTACTATTAATTTCCTCTTTCATACTCGTTAGCGTTTGCCTTACATATTGCGGTGCTCCTATGTTGGGTGCATATATATTTATAATTGTTATATCTTCTTCTTGGATTGATCCTTTGATCATTATGTAGTGTCCATCTTTGTCTCTTTTCACACCCTTTATTTGAAAGTCTATTTTATCTGATATGAGTATTGCGACTCCTGCTTTCTTTTGGTCTCCGTTTGCGTGGAATATTTTTTTCCAGCCCTTCACTTTTAGTCTGTATGTGTCCCTTGCTTTCAGGTGGGTCTCTTGTAGACAGCATATATAGGGGTCTTGCTTTTGTATCCATTCAGCCAGCC